AAACAGGTAAAAACAATGCAAAGGTTCACATGAACACAAGTTTCGACCATCTGAAAGTTCAATAGAGATTATATATGAATTCTGGAAAAGGTATATGTATATAATCAAGTAAAATATTTTAAACAAGTCCATTGTGCCTCCATTAGTTTTAAACTGCAAAATCCAATACACAGTTGTTCTAATAAATTAGTGCAATATGAAAAATTTTGGAAGATTAACGTGTCCATATTAGATCAAATGGGAGATTTCAAAATTTCCTCCAACAGGATCTTTTGCTTCTTCTTAAACTATTTTCTCCTGAGCTGTCTGAAGATACATGCTCTGATTCAGACAAACTCATGCCAAATATCAAACTGCCTGGTGAGATGTAGATTCTTGCTTGTATACACCTCCGCGAACATGAAATTTTACACATTGCTCTGTGAACTGGGCAGAACGCCACTCGCTTTCTTTCATGTTTAATTATCTGTAAGAATAACTGTACTCATAAATCCAGTTCTAAGAGTACATTTATTGTACAGGTTCAACCTGGGAGCCAAGTGGAATACTTTTACTTCTGCTTCTACAAAGAAAAAAGGGAAAGGGGAGTGACTTCTTCAATAAGGCAGATTTTCTACAATGTAGCTTTTGGATTGTTTTCCTTCTTGAAATTGCTGCTTATTCTTTGGTAGTCACAAGTTAAGAAACTATAGTTTTCTGGGGATGGCTGACAAGACTGAGCAGTAATTCCAAACATATCACCACCTCACGCTCGCACACAGGCCACAGGCGAGCTGGCTGCTCACACAGTCCCAGTGCTGCAGCAGAGTGCTGACAATCTTCTTTCAATACTAGATTTATCTAGAAATAGAGTAATAAAAAATTAAATTCATAATAAAGACCATTTATGTTTTCAAAACCAAAGACAGAAGAACTAAGGAGAAAAAAATCACAAACTCTACTGACATCATCAGCTCTATACTATCTTTGCCCCAAAGATAACAGAATGTGAATACCTTTTCCTCTTTCTGGCTGGTAGCAGATTCCATATGATTACTAGTAAGTGCTAAACAGACCAACATGTCAAATAGAGAACCTTTAGATTTTAACAGTTAGCTTAGCTTGCTTACAAAAGTGTAAATAATTTTACAATAGTCATCCTCTTGTGGCTATACTAAATGTGACATGACTAGGTACACCCTAAGACATCCACCACCTGTTCCTCCTCAAAAACAAGATTACTGGGCTTGTATTTGATAAGTAGTAATACCATCCTGGTATGCTATCAGTCTCCACCTGCTATCTACACCAAATCTGCAGTACATAGGATCTTTATAGGAGTTTTTAGGAACTTAGCCCATGAGAGCAATTTAATAAATCTCCATACGATGCAACCAAACCAGACATGCTCTCCAGCAGAGAAATGTCGCCATGGAGAAAGACAGAAAGAAGATAGGCTGTTGATCTTCCTTTGCTGCAAGTAGCAAGAAATTAGAATCACTTACATGAGAATTGAAAAATCCCTTTATAAACACAACTTTGCTATGTATATATAGTTTTGAAAGTACTAACACCTAGGAGGTTGTTTTGGAAATGGCCCCTGGGATCAGAAAAATCACTTGCTAAAATGTGAGTGTTCTATTACTAATTAGTAAACACTGCACACACTCACCAGAGGTTTAAATTAAAACAATCTACATGGGCTTTTTTTTAATGGCTGCTGGCAGCAGCATTAGACTGAGACGTAATTTAAAAAAAAAAATTTATGCCAGAAGTGCATAGTACATTATTTGCTATATTCTTGATACAATGTGAAATCTCATTGCTGTGTGGAACACTGATGTCCCAGAAGTAATCCACGCTGCCCTTGAGCAAAGTGATTGCTCAGAAGAGAGCAAGGTACATGCTGACTCTGGTGGGAATGAGCTGCCAAGAGAAATGAACTGTCCTGCGCTCATGTTGATGCTTCTGTAAATAGTGCTAATGTGTAGTCTTTTTCTGCTGCTGACGAATTTCACACAGGAACAGACACCCTGATGAGCTCAGTCACTATGTTTGTGAATACAAAAACATACCAGGAATTAATCCTACATTAAGCAGAAAGGAAAACCCAGGTCTTTGAAGTAGTACTGGGCTTCTGTGTGATACATGTGCCTTTTTCAGCGCTCCCACCTCCTGCCCTGACATTTCTGGAGCACCTGTGAAAACCGTATAACCCAGGTTCTGTGTCTGATTAACTTTGTCATATCTGGCCAGGCCAGTAGATTCCTCATCTGTACGGTTGGGAGACCATAGCAGGTGGTTCCTTAGCAGTTAGGTCTTATTTCAGGTGTGGTGGCTTGTATGAACTGAAATGGTGATTGAAAATTTTACACACTCAAAATTGAATCATGAATTACAGAGACTGGAAACTCCAGTTTCCTTCAATAACTTGATGTTGCCACACTTCTGAGTTTGGAAATTATTAAGTCAAACAGTTTAAAAATTCTACATAGGTTCCGCCACTTCCCTCGCAAGCGCAAGGTCCCGAGTTCAATCCCTGGTACCAAAAAATAAAAAATTCTACATATACTTTATATGTACAGAAGCATTTTTCTTAGCACCCAACATTTTTTGTAACTACATATTAATTTATTACCGGAATAAGTTGTACTGGTGTGCTAAATAAAATCAGATAATTCAAAAAAAAAAGAAATAGAAATAAATATTCACCTTCACAGATTTCAGAAAAGCACATTTTAACATTTTAATTAAAGAAACATCTTTCAAAATTTTAGTGGCTTCCAGAAAGATGACAGAATAGTAAGCATCACAGAAACAGCCCCTCCAATATTTGGAATCCAGACACTGAAATATACCAACCTGGGTAAGAGAAGGAAGAGGGCAGTGGGTCCCCAGGACCCACCAAAGATCTTAAGTGAGAATTAAGAGCCCGCAGAGAGTGAAGAGAGGGACCACAACATAGAAAAGAGAGGTGGCAAGTGGTGCTCTCTCGCTGAGCCCTGGCTGGAGGTATGGGAGGGGCAGCTTAAACTTGCAGAGGCAAGGTGACTACTTGTGAACCCAGAGGCCTCCACAAAGAAATGCACCAGTGGAACAGAGCAGTGGACGCTGCAGACTGCAGTGGCTGGTAGGTAATTTGGGTTCAGATGCACCCCAAGAGAGAGCGACTGGCTGGAAGCCATTTTAGAAAAGAATCAACTGAACTCAGAACCTAGAGCAACTGTAGGTTGGCTCCATCTAGCAGCTCCAAATGTTTGGGTGAGGTGCAACAGGAGTTCAAGCCAGCAAGCGGTCAGGCAGCTGAGTTTAAGCTGGCAGGAGTCACTCAAGAAAGTTGTGGACTGAAAAACTCTGGTCCCAGCCTCACAGCCAGAAACCAGAAGCACCCTGAACTTCGTGGAAATAAAGGCTCAGGTTTCCTGGGATTATTCACCACTGTCATAATTCTACAGCTGGCATACTGGGATCAATCAACATAAATTTGGGCTCTGTCTGTCCCCTCTGTCAACAGTGACAGGAGAGACACGCCCTGAGGTGGCCATTTTTTTCTGCTTTAATTGCTTTTTAAAATATTTTTCTCTTGCTCTTGATTGTTTGTTCTTGTTTTTATATGAGTGAAAACATTGTTTCTAGTTTTTCTTCTGTTTCTTCATTTCTTTCCCTCCTGTCTTCACCACTTCCCAAAGCTTGTGTACTCTTCCTTTGTCCTCCAGCCTTACTTTTAATCTCTTTCTCTTCTTCTGTTTCTCTATTTTTTCCCCTAAACCCTTGGAAATTTTCTCCCATGAGGGTAAAAATCACCATATTGAAGGGATACGATTTTCTGCTTTGTTTTTAGATTTGGTTATATAATTACAAATCCTATTCAAATGCTTAATGGTGGCAAATTAACAGTTACCACAGTTTGTAATTTTCTAGGGGGTGTTTAATGCCATTTTTATTACTGATTGTACTACTTAACCAAAGTGACAAAACTGTGCTAACTAGTTGTTCTTCCTTGTATGCCAAAACTGAGATTGCCTGAGGGTCATAAACAATACTACAGACTAGAGCCAAAGAACCAGGAGCTAGGCCAAATATGCAGGAATTTCTCATCCCCAATGAAATGAAGAAGTAGGATCTTGCAACAGACTCACACTCAAAAGATGGCTACACCTAGAAATCATCTCTAAGAAGTAGTCATTTCCTAAGGGTTCTCAATACTAGCAATAAAGATACCTACCATAAACAATTTAAACCATCAACACAGGAATTAAACTTAAAAAAAAATAGAAAATGAGGAGACACAGAAGCAAGATGCAAACTGAGATTTCCAGCTCACCAAAGGCAAACCCAGGGAGCAATGAAGTGGAACAATTTGAAAGGCACCTACCTGGACTCTTTGAAGTGGTTATAGCAGAAGACAAAGCAAATGAATAAGGCTCTATAAAAAGTCAAATCAGAAATAATTTCTCAAATAACTTCAGAGATGATGACCACAATGAAGGGCATGACTAGTAAATCTAGAGAAGATACAGATTTTTTAAAAATAGAAGAGCTTAGGAAAATAATGGAAATCATGAATTCCCAACACAGGAAAGAAATGGAATCCATGAAACATATTCAATCAGATATCCAGGAGATTAAAAATTCTACTGAAAGTATACACAGCAGAATGAACCAATATAAGGACAGAATATCAGATCTAGAAGATAGGATTGCAGTTACTGAGGGAATCGTGAAAAATCAATCCGACACCTGATAGATGATGCAAAGAAGAAAAAGATTGATCAGAGTCAATGAAAAAGCAGGAGACAGAGAAATGACATAAAAAACCTGTCCATAGGAGTAATGGCAGAAATCTACACCAAGGCACATAATAGTCAGGATTCCAGAAATTCAACACAAGAATAGAATATTAAAAGCAGTTACATGAGGTCCTGGGAGCAGTTTGGAGCCCCACCCTCATCTGGAGCTTCTCTCTGCTGGTCGGCCAAGCAGCCTGAGGCTCCTCGGCTGTGTTCCGGTTCCTGTCCATGGCAAGGTGAGGTCTCGGGAGCAGCTTGGAGCCCCGCCTTCATCCGGTGCTCTGCTTAGCTGTGCAGGTGCCTGCAAGGCCCAATTCCACCACCACCCCCACCTTACAGCTCTTCTGCTACCTGGTCTCTCACTATAGAGGCACAGGGGATTATACATCACATAGTTAAATGTGATAGATTAATAACTACCACAAATTGTCATTTTCTAAGCTGTTCTTGATGCTATGGTATTGCTGACTGTAACATATGGCCTAACATGTTGTGATTGATCTAATCAGTTTTCCTTCCTGGTATAAGGAAAATAAAATAGCCTCAGAGACATTAGAGCCTCAAATCCTAAACACAAGCCATATCTGGAAGACACCTCTGAAAAGCAATCATTCCACAAGGGTTTTAAACAAAAGCAACAAAGATACCTGCATTAAGCAATTTTGAAATATCAAGCCAGGAATTAAACCAAGGACAGTACCAAAAACAAAAATAAGAAGACATTTAAGCAAGGCACAAATGCAGGCTTCCATGCCACAAAAAGGAAATTCTGGGGGAAATGAAGTGGAAAAGTCAGATAATCAACCACCTGGACACCCTGAACTGATAACACAGGAAGTAACAAAGAAGATACATGAGGCTCTAGAAAAATTCAAAGCAGAAATAATCTTCCAGATAAATACAGAGGTGGTGAGCAGACTGAAAGACATGATTAGAGGCTCTAGAGCAGAAACAGACAAGAAAATAGATGAGATCAGAAATATGCTGGAAGCCATGAATGCCCAGCATAAGAAAGAAATGGAATCCATGAAACAGATTGAAACAGATATTCAGGAGATTAAAAACTCCA